TGCTTCTTGGCTACCCTTTAAGGGAGCTACGAGGTATTCCTGTCTCCAAATGAAGCCAGGTTGAATGTGGTATCCTAAGAAGATACCGTCTTCGGCCTTAGGGTCGAACTTAGATGCATTTGTGATGTTCTCCTTGGGATTGTTCCAATAGAGAACCTTGGCACCAAAAGGAATGAGCTTACCGCTAAACCCTTCACCGAACCTTTCGTCCCATGGGATCTTCGCGGTGTCCATCCTTTTGGACAAGTTTAAAGCCATAGTGTGATGTTGAGCAGCTAAGGGCCAGAGCTTCGTTGGAAGTCCTGCCTGCAGCAAGTTCGCCCGTGTGCCCTCGAGCACAGTTCGAATCTCTCTCTCAACAACAGACTTGCTTTCATCGACGTAAGGTCGTGAGGTGTTGTGACGAACTTTGTATTTTCCAGTAGCATTCTTGAGTTCGGGGGCATTGTCGGAGTAAATGATACCTGGTTCATCATCTACAGCGAAGTAGTGCAACAGGCAATCATAAACCTCTTCCGACTCCTTCGTACCTGCAGGGTACACATAACGAAAGTTAGTGAACACGTCCTTAACCACAAGAGCAACTTTCTCACCTTCGATCCCAAAATCACGCAAGTCCTTGGTCACAATGTGATCAATCGTCACGTGGTCTCCGAACTTCTTCGAAAAGATAGTGGAGCTCCCCCCTCGCTTTCTGGCATGTGGCGCTAGCATTTTGGCCTTTTGGCATACCTTGCAGAAAGGGTTCTTAGGACGGTGGGTGAATTTGTGCTCCGGGCTATTGGCCTGCAGCTTGAGCTGGGCTGAACGTTTTTCGTCCTTTGGGTCAGCTTCAGCTTCTCTTTCGCTGTCAGGCTCCGGCTCGGGGTCATCAACAGGTCTTTTAAAGATCGTTACACTGAGAATGCAGGCATCAGAGGGGAGCTTGGCTACCCGATTGTCCAACGTCCTTACATCCACGTCTTTTTCGATCTCCTGCCATTTCTTGACATAAGTCCAAGTACTCCGGATGACGTGCTTTGGAAACCTTGTAGCAGGCGTTCTAAAGGTTTTGGGAAAGTGCCCCACGATCATCTGTGGAAAGGAAGGATGCGAAACCCAACCTGGTTTGTTCAAGTACTCCGCCTTTATGCCTAACGGAGCAGCCTCTTTCAGTGCTTTTTCGATCCTGGGGTCGAGGCCACTGCCCGAGGATTCGCCTTCCGGCTCGGATTCTGCTGCATTGGCGTGCCTTATTAGGCCGCTGAACGGGGAAAACCCGATGTTTCCTGGATGACTGGCGAATGAGCCGCTTTCTCATCCTTGGCGGGAACAGCGATTGTACCATCCCCAATCACCGGGACTCGCCCGCGCAGCTTGCAGTAAAGTTTCCGGCCTTCAGGTGTCACGAAGTAAGGCGTCTTCCCTGCGTACCAATGGAAATCGAAGCCCTCATCCATGCATCTCCTACCAACAGAGCACACCGGCGGCGTTGAATCTAGCACGTAGCATTCGAGGATTTTGTTGATTTCAGGGACCTCTAGCTTAACGGCTTCGTTACCTTTTACCGGCCCGTTGGCGGTGATCAAAGAAACAGGACGTGAGGCAGGTTCAATAGGTACGTCGGGGAAGTGAGTTCTGCAGTCCGACTTGCTGATGAGGTCCTCTTCACTTCCGGTATCCGCTAGGAATTCTAAGCCGGGGACCAGACCTGCACATGACGGACGTGCAAGTCGCTCGCACTCCTCGCAGAGGAAGCCTTCCTCCATGCATTCATACCCGCATCCCGCAGGCGTGTCGTGAGTCATGCATTCGATCATGGTGGCAAACTGCTTTGCCCACACAAGAGCCCTTTTCAGATCCTTAGGATTCGAGCGTGGACATGCCTCGACAGTGGGATAGACTTCATCATAAACCCTGGGAAGGTAGGCATGCTTTCTCTGCTTTCCTTCCGGTTCGATGGCAATCATTTCTACGGTGCTGTCAAAACTCACCTTAGGGAGTTCTTGCATGTAGAAGATCGTCTTACCTACCCATGTGCTGCCGGGTCCTTTGGTTGGGGTCTTCCTCCAGTTGTAGATCTTGTTTCCCACAAAAGGGGAGACCGGCAAAACCTGCTCGAGTTTAGCTTGGCTCCTAAGCTTCTTGGGGTTCACTGGACATGAATTGTCAGGAACATACCAATCCGTTCGGTGCTTCTTGTGGTGGCGGATGATTTTGTTGCCGGTGAAGTCTACCTCCCAGTAGTCCTCGTCATGTGACGCTGCCATAGCGAGCTTTGGCGAGATCTCAAGATCCGCTGTATTTTCGAACGCGATGGCGCATGCGGCCGTCTTTGGGGCCTTGTCACTTGACTTCGCCCTGGGACTTCTCCCTCTGCGCGGAGCAGGAGAGTTGGCCCTGGGTGACCCTGGCTTTGGAGCTGCCGGGGCTGCTTCGGACTTTGGTGCTGGAGCTGAGGGCTTCTCTATGTCCTTATGCTGGAACCGACATTTATCACCCTTGTTGCAGTTGCCTTCTTTCCAGAACTTACATGTCACGTTGATTTTCTTCTTGGGTTTGTCGCCTTTGGGGGACAATGATCTCTTCTTGTGAAGGAAAGGGCAGTTATTGCCTCGCTTGCAAGTTCCCTTGAGGTAATCATAGCATACTCCCTTTGGGCTAGGTGTCCTAGGCTTGCCGGGAGACTGGGATCTACCTTTGCTGGGTGATCTTGGCCTTGGGCTCTGCGATCTGCCACGGCCTCCTCTTGAAGAGGGGCTGGAAGTTCGGCCCGGAGACTTCGAGGCAGGGGCACCGTACTTATCTCCGTGAGATCTTGCGATGCGGTCACGGTTCTTGCGTTTGCGCTCTCGGGTCAAAAGATCCTTAAGTGACTTCACAAGAAACTTGTACGTGTGCTGATCCGTGCCCTCTGCTGCCCTGTCGTAAATCTCAAGATCGTACTTTAGTCTCTTGGACTGCCTGAGTTCACGAAGGAAAATGTCTCTTAGGGTCGTTTCATCCGGTGTGTGGCTGAGCCCAGACATGACAGATTCCCAGTTGCTAATGAACACTGAAAGATCGTCATTGATTAACCTTACTTTCAGCAGGTCCTCCACGGAGTACAGTGATCCAACCTCTTCGTTCGTCTTGAAGTACTGATCGAAGAGGTAGAGCACCTGTCGCCCTCGCACCGCCCTGAATTTCGCCGCTTCTGTCTCCTTAAAAATGAGGATTTCTCGGGAGAGTTCTCCCCTAGCGACTTTTGTGAGTGCAGCAAGAAGTTTCGTGTCAAGGGTGAGGAATTTCTCGGGATCTCGAAGGGATTCCTGCGATGCGTCTTTGTCGTAGGCCTTCATCACCCATTTAAACGCCTCATCAGGTGAATCTGATGCTGCCCTGACCGCTTCCCTAGCTGCCGTTTTCCACGAACGATACGACTCTGGACTTGGAAACTCCGGAAGGCTGATAGACTCTGCTTCTTTCACTTTGGGTTTGTCAGCATCGGTTTTGCTCTCACCCCTTATGTTTCTTAGGCTTTGAAGAATTGCCATTTGTGTCTCTAGGAGACCTGTGTTGAAAGCATCCGTCCCTGGCGTGCCGGAATCGGCCGCTGGAGGGGCCGCTGTTCCTGGCGCTGCCTGGGAAGGTCCTGCCTTGGGGATTGAAGATGCTGTTGCAGACGGAATGGACTGAGCATTCAAACCTCCTGGATTCATTGACTCGAACAGACATCTGGCGCCTTGGGGGATAACGTTCGGCATTGAGAACATGGGCGCTTGAGGAGCTTTGGGGACGACAGATGGACCTGCAGGGGTACTTGGAGCAGGCATTGGCTGACTCTTTGGAGTAGCTGGATTGTACTGATCCAAGACCTTCTCTAGTGCAGTTTCCGCAGAATCCAACTTGTCCTGAAGCTCTTCATTCTGTTCCCTACATACAGCAAGGGACGCCTCATACTCTTCTTTCTGCCTGTTCCTAAACAACTCAAAGTGTGCTTGGAACTGTTCAACCATGACTTCCTGGGAATTCTCGATGTGCCGTCTCGCCTGTTCTTCGAGGTTCTGTGCAAAGCGTGATTCCGCCAAATGTTGATCCAATGCGTCTGTGACTCGGCTGTTTTGAAGTTCCGCTAACTCTTGGCGCAACCTTTGATCTTCATCATAGGAATGCGCTTGACTCAAAGTCATTTCCGACAACAGGAGCCTTTCACGATTTGCCGCCTTGTACTCGCTCTGTGCCAAGGCTGCTTGCAGTTCTGCTACCACTTCAAGGTGATTTCGTTCTGCTCTGTGCTCCAAGTCGGCTGTGTGAATTGCGGATGCTTCTTGATAGGTCAGCATGTGTTGCCTGTGTCTTGCTTCTGCCTGAGCCTCTAGTTCTCCGACTTCCAGTCTGATCTGGTTAACGTGTACTTCAACACTATACTGTGGTGCGAAGACGTTGAATTGTTGGACTGAGGCTGGTGCCGGGAAAACTAAGCCGGGGGCGCCGCTCCCTGTATGGCCACCCGTGACCGGGGGCTGTAAAGGGTTCACGGTGCTTGTAACTGTATCCATACTTGCAGGAATAAGTTCCGGTTCGCTCATGCGCTGATTGATTGTATTGTAACCAACCAGTTGTGACCAGGCCGAAGGCTATACGGCTGATAACCTATAGTTGTTGTAAACCACTGCACACACGCACTGTTGTATATACCCGTCCAAGTGATAACAGCACGGCTTGTACCATTCGGTCACTACCTTTTTCCTGTTAGAGCACTTGTGCCACAATGCAGTACACACAACATGCTACTTCACACGTGCACAAATTACAAAACCCTAAACCCCAAACCCTAAAGCCTAAAACCATAAACCCTAAAGCCTTTCATAAAATGAAAACCCCTAATCCCCAAACCATGGGGCCTAGGCCCTAAAACTGTGACGAAGCAACCCTGAACCCTAGCCGACCCTAGCCCTAGACCCTTTAAAGCCTAAAACCCTCAACCCTAAACCCTTTCATGCAAAGTTCCAGCAGCTGCTGAAAGGGACAAGTCCGGCCTTGTGAGGTGCGAAGCCACCTTTCCAGCTCTTCTGAACCGGTTTAAGGGTGATGTTATAGAGTAATTACAGGGTTCAAGGTTTATGGTGATTTAGGGTTGATGTTGTAGGGGTTATTACAGGGTTTAGGGTTGATGTTCTAGGGGTAATTATCGGGTTTAGGGCTTGGGGGGTTTAGGGTTGATGTTGCAGGGGTGATTATGGGGTTTAGGGTTTATGGGGATTTAATTTTCATGTTATAGGGGTGTAGGCTTCAAGGCTTGGGAGTGCTTAGGGTTGATGCTTGGGGTAATTATGGGGTTTAGGGTTTATGGGGATTTAATAAGGTTGATGTTATTAGGGGTATAGGGTTTAAGGTTCGGGGGGGTTAGGGTTGATGATCAGGGGTATAGGGCTAAGGGTTTAACGTGATTTAGGGTTGAGGGTTTAAAAGACTTGGTTTGTTGGTCCGGGGGCTTGAAGGTCTTAGGGACTGCGGGTTTGGTGGTTGCAGGGTTTTACGGGCTCAGTTGGCAGAGTGTTAATGTAGAAACCTGATTAAGAAACCCTGGGCCGATAACCCCAAAATAGTAGGGTTCATGTAAGGAACCCTAATCATAAAGGCCCAAGGATTCTTAATCAGGTTCCTACGCTCGGGTGTAATGCTCGAGGGAAGCACATATGTTTGTCTTTCGGATCGGTGTCGGGGAGAAGATCTACGGAAGCTTGGTGGCAAACCGAGTCGTGAATATCAGTGCGTGTAGGTAGCTGCCCAGATCTTGCAAAAACCCGTGAATTAAGGACTAGCCTGATATGATTCAGGGAATATGTACCTTCACTAGGATAACCATATTGGAAGATCTGGGTGCTTCCAGTTGCTGTTCCAGGTCGTCCTGATCAATCTCCGCATGCACACGTCACACCCTTCGTTGCAAGCACGTAATTATTTAGCCCGAGGGAAAAACTACTGCTCAGAGTGACATTGATGGCAGCGGCATCGAGGCCCTCCGTCACATTGGCAACCACTTGCTGCAATAACCCTGGTGGCAAGAACCAACACATGCACCACCTTGGCCAAGCCGACCGTGGCGATGGACACTGTTACATCCTCGACCATTTTGAGCTTCTTGCCTGAGCTTGCACCGGTCCACCTGAATGAGGTTCTGGCTCTTTCGGTCAAATTCGCGCTTTATGCGGCCAGCGAGAGGCTCGCATAGCGTCTCAGACAGGAGTAGCTTAAAGTTGTACCGCTTTACCCGCCTATCGCTGAAGCTCTCGTTGACATGCTCGTGCCACGCCGGCAAATATTTACTTCATAGGGGGGCCGTATAAATCAAACGAGGGTATTGGGGTACAGCATACCCTAACTTAAAATAAACCTTAAGGAATACTGTTGGTAGTTGCTCCCAAAACTGCATCACAGGAGCTATTAAATTTCAGAACTCAGGGGGTTCAGGAATGGAGCTGCGTTTTATTTTTCGGGTATAGTAACTAAGGCCCTTCAAAGGGGCTCCGAACACACATGGCTCTAGTGCTTCAACATCCAGGACAGAGGTATCTTATCGTATAGTCATAATACGGGGCGCATATCAAACCACCCCAAGCCCTGATCCCTAAACCCCTAAACCCCAAAACCCCCTAATCCCTAAATCCCTAAACCCCTACACCCCAAAACCACCCAAATCCCTAAACCCTAAATCCCTAAACCCTAAACCATTGGCCGCCCGCGCCCGGCGGCGGCCGGTACCACTGAACGCTACCGCTTCGAGATCTGCTTGCTTGGCCAAGCAGATCGAGTCTACCAGACCGGATTTGGCACTGCTAGCCATGGGGCACAATAGTAAAATTGGGTACCCTTATCTCCCAGCGCGAGAACCCTGGCGGGGACGGGACCTGGTAGAAAGAGCTTGACGAGCAACCCTGGCGGGTATGGCGGGCGACTCTGGCGGGGACGGCCGACGACCCTGGCGGGGACTTGGTGGACGGACGACTTTGGCGGGGACGGCGCGCGACCCTGGCGGGGACGGCGGGCAACCCTGGCGGGGACGGCGGACGACTCTGCTGTGACAGCAAAAGGGCCTAAAACAGTTTGGCAGACGACTCTGGAGGGGGACGGCGGACGACCCTGGCGGGGACGGCGGGCGACCCTGGCGGGGACGACGGACGACTCTGGCGGGGACTTGGCGACTCTGAGGGACTGAAAAAACCAAAAACAGCTTTTGGCAGACGACTCTGGAGGGGATGGCGCCTTATCTCCCAGCGCGAGAACCCTGGCGGGACCTGGTAGAAAGAGCTTGACGAGCGACCCTGGCGGGGCTGACGACCCTGGCGGCCAAAACAGCTTGAATGTGGAGGGGGACGGCGGATGACCCTGGCGGGGACGGCGGGCGACCCTGCCAGACGACTCTGGCGGGGATGGCGGACGGGACGGGGGGTGACCCTGCTGCGGGGACGGCGGCACGAAAAGGCCAAAAACAGTTTGGCAGACGGACGCCCCGGAGGGGATGGCGCCTTATCTCCCAGCGCGAGAACCCTGGCGGGGACGGGACCTGGTAGAAAGAGCTTGACGAGCGACCCTGGCGGGGCTGACGACCCTGCGGGGACTTGGTGGACGACTTTGGCGGGGACGGCGCGCGACCCTGGTGGGGACGGCGGGCAACCCTGGCGGGGACGGCGGACGACTCTGCTGTGACAGCAACTAAAAAGGCCAAAAACAGCTTGACGATTCTGGAGGACGGCGGACGACCCTGGCGGGGACGGCGGGCGATCGTGGCGGGGACGGCGTAAGGACCTTGGCCGGGACGGCGACCCTGACCAGGGGACAGCGGGGTGACCCTGCGGGGACCCAGTGACGGGACGTCCTAGAAAGAGCTTGGGGACAGTGGCCGACTGTGGCAAGGAGCTTGGAGTGCGAGTCTGGCGGCAAAGCTGGACAATTCTGGCACGGACTGCCGGGCGAAAAAACCCTGGCGGCCGACTGGATGGTCAGCACTCTTGGCCGGACGGCTGCAGACCACTTCTGTAGGCCTGGCACTGGGCCCTGACGGACGACTCTGACGACGGCTGACGGACGACTCTGGCGGCCGGCGAGGACGAGCGAGGGCGTCGCTGCTATTTTGTGACTACATCACTCGGATGTCCCTTTGACGTTCCGCAACATTGCAACGTCTTTTCGGCTAGTGCAGCACTCGAATAAGAAGAAGCAGAACACAAAACCCGTTCTAGTCCTGCTTCGGGTGGTTGTGGGTGGGTTCCACGTTACGAAGACGGCGCGACCCACGACCACTCCATGGGTGGGGCGCGCCCTGGCACTGTGACACACCCCTAATCCCTAAACCCTAAACCCCTAATCCCTAAACCCCTAAACCCTAAACCCCTAATCCCTAAACCCCAAATCCCTAAACCCCGAAACCCTAAATCCCTAATCCCAAAACCCCTAATCCCTAAACCCCAAAACCCCCAAACCCCTAAACCCCCAAACCCCTAAACCCTGAAACCCCCACATCCCTAAACCCCAAAACCCCCAAATCCTTAAACCCCAAAACCCCCCACATCCCTAAACCCCTAAACCCCCAAATCCTTAAACCCCAAAATCCCCCACATCCCTAAACCCCTAAACCCCCAAATCCTTAAATCCCAAAACCCCCCACATCCCTAAACCCCAAAACCCCCAAATCCTTAAACCCCAAAACCCCCCACATCCCTAAACCCCTAAACCCCCAAATCCTTAAACCCCAAAACCCCCCACATCCCTAAACCCCTAAACCCCCAAATCCTTAAACCCCAAAACCCCCCACATCCCTAAACCCCTAAACCCCCAAATCCTTAAACAAAACCCCCCACATCCCTAAACCCCTAAACCCCCAAATCCTTAAATCCCAAAACCCCCCACATCCCTAAACCCCTAAACCCCCAAATCCTTAAACCCCAAAACCCCCCTAAACCCCAAAACCCCCAAACCCCCAAACCCCTAAACCCTGAAACCCCCACATCCCTAAACCCCTAAACCCCCAAATCCTTAAACCCCAAAACCCCCCACATCCCTAAACCCCCAAAACCCCCAAATCCTTAAATCCCAAAACCCCCCACATCCCTAAACCCCTAAACCCCCAAATCCTTAAACCCCAAAACCCCCCTAAACCCCTAAACCCCAAAACCCCCAAACCCCTAAACCCTGAAACCCCCACATCCCTAAACCCCTAAACCCCCAAATCCTTAAACCCCAAAACCCCCCACATCCCTAAACCCCCAGAACCCCCAAATCCTTAAATCCCTAGACCTCCCCGGGATGCCGAGTTCGACACTCACAAGCACTCAGATCCGACGACTGCAGCGCCTCCACGGTTCACCAGGGTTTAGGGTTGAGTTAGTCCCTTTCCTGGTTTGGGGTTAGGGTGTAGGGAATTTAAAGATTTAGTTTGTGGGTTTAGTAAATTAGGGCTTCCTTCCGGTTTGGGGCTTCAGTTTGGGCGTAGGGTTTAGGGTTTTGGTGGTGCGGTAGGTTTCACTGAGACTCACTAAGCCATTCGGCAAGCCCATTGGTTACTCAAGAATGTGTACTCAAGGTCTTGAAACAGCAGGCCATAAAATATGTTGAACGGTCATGCTCATTCGGGTTTTGGATTCGGCTTTAGAGTTCCGGGTCTATAGGGTTTCGATACATGCAGGCCTTCTGTTCATAACTCGAGGCTAAGGCGAACAGATCCACAGTAGTTGCCAGCACTGAGGTGGGTTTTTGACATTTTCAAACCAGTAGGCTGTACGCAGTAAAAACCTCGCCTCTAACTTTTACAGGCGGTGAGCCACAATCGACACGAACACCCAGGCCGACTAGCCCAATAACAGGATCCTTATTAACAGGATACCCAAAAGAAGGTAGTACCAATTAGGACACTTCGAGCCGTCGTGTTTCACTGGCCCCAAACAATGAGAGTCTCAGTGCATTGAACTTAGCGGCCAGTGGTTTAGGGTTCAGGGTTCCAGAATTCTTGCTCTTACTATGTAGGGCTAAAGAAACTCCGAAGCTGCCTCTCCCAAGCTCAACTCATCCGAATGACAACCGCCAACAGCTCGAACTACGCTATGGACCAACAAACCCTAAAGGCTATATGCCCTAAACCTAACCGATAGCACAAGGATTTCTAGTCTGAAAGTTCCAGACAAAACCACAGAACTTGCTCCGAGGGCTTTGCGGGATTCGGGCTGAAGGGTTTCAGGCTTTAGGGGGGGGGGGGGGGTGTCTGAGGCATTGGTTTAAAGTTTGGGGCTGTGGGTTAACGGTTTAGAGTTTAGGGTTTAGGGTTTAGGGTTTAGGGCTTAGGCTTTAGGGTTTAGGGTTTAGGGGCCAGGGAAATACAAGGTTAAACTCTCAGATTACTACTAAAATATACAAACCCAAGAAGTTTAAAGATTGGCTATTGGAGAACTAAGTTAAGAGCTTCAGTGGAGCTTCTCTTCCAGTCCACATACATGCTGAACACAAACCTTTCATGCGAATCAGCAGCGCTTTAGGGGTTTAGGGTTATCCCAGCACGTCGGTAAGAAACCCTTGAAGCATGTTGCCTGTTTGAATCTGTTCGTTTACTCAGCGTCCAACATACCGAACAAAAACACCCAGTCCCCTGCATACTACCCTACATGGCGAAAATCTCAGATTGAGACTCCCGCACCTAATCATTCCTAATCACTGGGCACTTGGACGCTTGTATCAGAAGCAGCCCTCAACCCTGAACCTTAAACCTGAACAAACCCTACATACTCTAAGCCCGAAACCCTAAACCTTAAATCCTAAACCCAACGAAAAGCCCCAAACTCTGCCGGCGGCTCGGTGACTCGGATCTCCAGTCTTTCTGAGATGAGAGCTGACAAAAACTCCCAGAAACTCAAACATCCCTTACTTAAGGAATATACCTTAAATCATTTTAGGGTCCCTACTATACTTTAGTGTATATTCCTGAATTCAGGGGTTTCAGAGTCCCTGGGTTGCCTGCATCTCCGACAATGCGTTCTACGGACTTGGGATTTAGGGTTGAGGGACCCTAAACGCTAAACCCTTCTTCATCAGAACAGGCAGCATGAGTACGCGAGAGATAGTTCCAAAACCAGGTCGAAACATGACTTGTGCACCTGCACAACCTTGTGCACGTCGCAGAACAAGTGCTGGCATTGCCAGCTGGTGTCGTTGGCTCTGAGAGATCGCTCGGCAGCTGTGTTCGAGTGTGGCGGTCGGTCGATGGAACGGATGTTTTGAGTGGGAACTGTTGGCTGAAGCGCTGCAAGCCTTGGATTCTCTGTTCCTGTTCCAGCCGTATCTAGCACATGTTCTCAGCAGTACGTTGGTCCACCAGTCAGTTGCTGGACCCTTTCGGCAAAAGGGCGGCCCGACATAAAATCAAACCTGAACCTAACCCTTAAACTCCACAGTCAAAAGTTTCAACCTTAAACTCTCCAGCCAAAACCCTAAACTATCCTAAACCCCATACCCCCAGGCCCTAAAGCCCAAAAGCGCCGTGTGCCTCCAGAGCCACTGGGCGTACAGTGGCCTGCGAAGTCTTCAGCTCGACATGGACGGGCTTCGGGGTTGTAGGGTTTAGGGTAGAGGACAGGTCTTAGGGTAGGGTTTAGGGTTATTAGTAATTAGGGTTTGGGGTTCAGGACTTAAGTTTGAGTCTCACGGGGCTTCGGGCTTGTAGGGTTTAGGGTTTAGGGTGTTTAAGGTTTAAGGTTGGTACTTCTGTCCGAAGATCTCTTACCCTCAAGGTCTTGGGTTTCGGTTTTTGGCTTTTGGTTTAGGGTTTAAGGTTTTGGTTTAGGATTTACGGTTTGGGTTTTGGGTTTAGGTCCAGGGGCCGCAAGATGCAGGGTGCAACTTTGCATTGAAGGCGGGTCTGCGTGTTCAGGAGTGAAGACTGAAGTCTTCAGCAGCTTCGAATACCATCCCAAAGCCATGCGGATTGAAACTTGGAAGGAAAGGGGTCGATCCGAAATCGTGCTGGCAGCCCCAGGGCATGAACTGCTTGTAAATTGACTGATGCTAAGTCTTCCTGGGGAGTTGGTGTTGGGGAAGAGGATAAACCTCCAAAGCGCCCAAAAGCAAAATAATGACAAAGAACAATGAGGGCAGAAGGGCGCAAGGAGAAAAAACGCCCACAACTCAAAGACAGACCCGGCCCCACATGGGATGGAGATTTCGTTCTGAGCCCTCGGCGTCCCCTCTCCAAGGTTCTAGTGACAGTCGCTGCCGCAGCGTCATAAATCAAAGTGCCAACCAGAACAACAGCGGCGCCCACCTGCAATGTCCACGCAGGGCCACCCGCCGGGTATCAAAGACCCCACGAGAACAGTGTGCAAACCTGGAGCGGCATCTGAAGATAGAAGTTTTATGCAGCGGAAGCAGTCACTTGGGCCACGCGTCGGGGGACAGCTCCCCAGCAGGATCCGTAGCTTCGAGCCAGCCAACTAATGCTCTGGAATCGCCTTCCGCGAAACCCGAAGTCTCACCAACACTTCCTACCGAGATCTGCCTAACCCCTCAAAAGCACACAAGGGAATGTGCCTCTGTTATACAATCCTAAACAGACTGAGGGTTTAGGTATTAGCTATGTCAGTATGCCGTCATTGCTGCAATATCGTGAGGCGCCTGCAACAACCGACACGCACGCACACGCACACTCTGCATGCCTGAACCCTAACCGAAATGGCAACCATGTCAAGGTCAAGCTAGAATACCCTAAACACTAAATCCCTTACATAAGACCCCCTCAATTGAACCCTAAACCCTCAGCTCTTTATCGACCCTATTGAAGGAGCCCAGAACCCAGGGATTTAGGAGCGGCTCGGGCAATACTTGCGCAAGGAGGGTCAGAAGGTATCCCAAACCGTAAAACCTAAAGGGTCCAAAGTACCTTTATAGCAGAATGTAGGGTTTCTATATTAGGAATTAGGAATTACTATTATGATTTGGGGAAGTATCCCCCATAACCGTCCTTAGGACCCTTTGGGAACCCTACCTACTCGACCTCGCAGACTGAAATCAAGCCCGAAGGACCTCGAATCGCAGAAGCCTAGACCTCATTTACAGAACCTTATGGATCCCTCAGAGAACTGTAAACCCTACATCCTCTCAACCCTGAATCCTGAAAGACTCCAGACTCGGAGCACTCCTTCTCTTTCTCGCTGAGATCCAGCTCGATGAGCCCCTTCAGAGCGATTTGTGGCAAGATTCTCGGAGCACTCAAATAAAGGTTTAGGGCTTTTGGACTCAGGGTTTAAGGTTTAGGGTTTACCTAGGGTTTTGGGTAGGTTTAGGATGTCCAGAAAAGAGCAACATATCTTGCTGGCTCAGACTCGAAAGCCCTGAATTCAGGCATATACCTTGAACTGTGTCCTAGCTGCAAGGATCCCTGAGCCCCCAACAGAGGCGCACATAGATACTTCCATCCGTCCATCTATCCTTCCATGCATGCATGCATGCAGGCGCCGCCCAGGCAGGCATACCTATATAGACAAAGTAGTTGCGGGTGACCTGTTCATCTACGAAAACAAGGGCCCGAGACATGTGCTGTTCAGGTATATTGGTTGATTCATCAGAAGTCGTCGGAATCCTGCTGATGCCGTGTCCCTTAGCGATGCTTCCCTGCATTTGAGTTTTTGGGCGCGCCACCTTCTTCGTTTAGGGCTTCGGGTTTAAGGGTCGTTCACCTGTTGGCTGCAATGGCTCAAACAGGATTAGGCACTTCTTTGACATCTAGACGATCGCATATAGCCATCGCAAGCAAACGCAGGTGAGCAATTTAGCGCTATGCTGAGTACAACCACCCTAAAAGTTGAAGGCTCCATTCTATTAGCTCTTATAGAGCATAGTTACAGGTGTAGGATATTAGGCTCAAGACTTTGACCGTCTGCGGGTGATTTCGTGCTAAACTTAAGACAGACTGGAGGCAGTCTCCCCAGGGTGGAATATCTGGATATTATATATATATATATATAGATGTTTTATTCTTGATTATCTTCTGTTTACAGGACACCGAAACTCCTGATGTCGACATAGCATGCCAACTTGAACCCCTGATCCGTAAAAGCTTCTACCAGGGGGACCGCGGTACAAAAGAGCCGCCCAAAACCACCTTGAGCCCTTTGCCGGACAACCCCCAGGTCTCAAGAGTATGGGGCTAATTAAGTCGGAGTCACAAACTCGCTTGAGCTCGAAACCCATTCCTTCCATACTGCTCATTGTGTTCTTTTTAAGGAAGTTACTTTTATAGTTACCACGATGGGGACCTATAGTACATAAGATAGCTTCCTTATTTTGGTAATTTCAAAGCAATTAATTCCTTAACAAGACATTACAAAGCCCGTTAAAGGACCCATTTTGGTACCCCTATAGTAACCCTTTAAAGGAACCTTAAGATACCCCTAGTCTTCGGAACCTCCCTTCTAAGAGCCCCAGTGGTTGCGCCTTCTCTGGGCAGCCGCCGCGGAAGGCTCTGAAAACCTTGCACTTTCATCGAAGAATATAGGGGCCTTCGTAGTTAGAATAGGGTTTAGGGTTACTTTAAAGGGCTCCCTAAAGGATCCTAGAATGCTTTAGAGTTTATAGGGTTTATAGATTCTCGGCTGACTTCTGAATCCCTCCAACAAGTAAAACTTTTAGCTTCCTTATTATAGTTCATATCGAAATCCCAAAAAGGAAAAGTCCTAAGAGCCAACCAGAAGAACGCCAAGAATATAAGGGGCCTGAATAATTAGAATAGGGTTTTAGGGTTCCTTTAAAGGGCTCCTTAAAGGATCCTATACAGGGAACTCCAGAAAGTTGGAATATGGTTTCATGGTAGGATACCCTTTAATTTACCATAGAAGGGTTAGGATAATCATATTCCAACTTTTTGGCTTTTACCTTAAGGGATCTAGCCGTAAATGGCCTTAACAATTAGAATCGGGTTCCTTTCAAGGGCTCCTTTTAAGGGTTCCAGAACTACCTAAAGCAAGGAGAGCCCAGGGCAACAATGCTCGAGGTTTTGGGCCTTCAATCATTTGCCCGTCATGAGCAGAGCCAAACGTTCACAGGTTTAGGGTTTCGGGTATCATGGGGAACTAAAGGATAGCCTTTTCGGTTTATATAGGGATTATATAGGGACTATACTACCCACAAAAGGTTACAAGGTTGCCTACCTACTACTAGGCAAATATTCACAGGTTCGTCGTACAAAGGAACTTTCTGAACCCGCCAGCCTGTCAGCCAACGCCTTAGCCTTAAATAAACCTTTACTAAGTCTGCAGAAGATGCACCCTGAGACACAAGATGATACAGGGGCTTGCCTAATTAAGAAAGTCGTTAAGACCCCCATAATTGACCCCTAACCCTACATAGAACCCTTGCAAAGGCCCTCAAAAACCCCTAAACCCTAAACCTTAACCTTAAACCCTAAACCGAAACCATTAACTCTGAAACCGAAGCGACGGCCTCCCCGGCACCGCCCAGTTGCAGAGCCATGGCCCCCGTGACCTTTCGAAGAGGGCTTTAGGATTTGGGGTTTGGAGTTTAGGACTTTTTTTTTAGGATTTAGGGTTTAGGATTTCGGGTTTGGAGTTTAAGGCGTTGTGGCTCGAGCTCGTTTTGTTGCCCCGTCACCCATTGGTGTTGGGGTGCCATACGAGCATTCCCAACCCCAGCGTAGTTCCACTGCGCGATTCGACACTCCCCTTGGTGGGGATCGGCGGGTCTTGGACCCTTGCTAGTCACTGCTGCTAAACCAGCTGACTATTCTGGAGGCGCTCTCCAGTTTTCTCCGGCCCGCTGTTTATGAAACGAGCGGGTACATATTATCCACTGGCGCCACTTATTCTGGTGGGTGTGCTTTTGATCTACGTGGGTCTTCCCACGTCAACTTCTGTACAAGTTGGTCAAGAGGGCCGGCAGTCCAAGCTGGCATCGTCGGGCGCGCCGTGCGCGTGCCAAAGCGCGTCGGCGACTTCGTCGAGGTCTTTCTACCAGCAGCGATTTTGCGCTTTTGCTGCGCCACCACGGAAGCATGCCTCCGAAGCCTCAGACGGACAAAAACAAGGTGCCGAGCAAAGGTGGCCAGAAAGGCGACAACGTACAGGTCAGCCGTATAGACTTCGGTCTTCCCGCGGCGGTTTCCACCTCGTTACAGTCGATAGCTACAAGATCCACGCAGGACCTCTGGGGTGCCACGGCCTTTACAACGGAGGACGCCACAGCAGAACAGTTAGCTCAAAGACGAGCAAACGCCATCTCGAAGCTCTCCAAGCGCTTGTCAGGGAATGTACGCGCAAAAGAGGAACTGGGTGGTGCCCTGTTCCAATGGTGTTCTACCATCGGACAACATCTTCTCGGTCTGGTTGGGCGGGCGAGAGCTATCTGCACGAAGATCGACGAGGACACCTTACAGGCGGTTCAGGACATGAACGAGGCCTTGGTACACCAGCCATCTGCCGCATCTCTAGAGAAAGTGACCCAAGCGACCTCCTCTGTAGGCATGGTTTGGAGCGAACTTCAAGAATTAGAGGTTCAACGCATTGCCGCAGCTCTTCGGGCATTTGCAGCAGTAGGCAGTCCAGGTGCACTTGCGACAGCGGCTTCCGCAGGACACAGAACAGTACCGACGATGGCCGGACCAGCATCGATCACAGGCACAATTCAGGTTCCAAGTGGCGTTGTTGCAGGTGCTTCTCCCGAGGTCAGCCTTATCGACCGGCAGTCGGAAGCCAGCTTTGGAGCCTGGGGCAACACTTTGCCAGAGGCAGGCGGCTTCCAGCAGGACCCCTTGTCTGTCGGTGCACCGTCCTCCGGCATTCGTCCTGTTCTTCATATGCAGGAAGCTGCACCTCCTGCCCCCTCCGTGCCAGGTCGATGGCGCAAGAGAAGCGGCACTGGTGTGGAGAGGCCTTCCAAGAGTCCCAGGCGGACAACCGCGCCCGAGGCACCGTGGCCCAGCGAATCCAGCGGCCGTACTCCAGAAGCACTCAGGAGGCCGACGCAGACTGCATTAGGACCGTCCGAGCCCGAGTTAATTCCGGACGAGTCACCTGTCGAGGTAACCTGGCGCATTGCTTGGCTTGCCCTGTTGCGTTTCGCGGTCGAGCAAGGCCAAGACCCAGTCGGAGAGTTGTCATCCAGTGCCGAGCAAGATGCGGCTTTGCCACTGTGTACCGATGCTCAGGCAGCCGAAGCTACCATACAGGTAGCCGATCAGGTGTGGCAGCAGCTTTCAGAAGTCGTACGTCAGCCTACCGAAGTGCCATGTGCTGCCCTCCACGGTGCTTTACGCGAGCTGTTATATCGGGTGCGGCAGTGCCCGGTAGTCCTTCCTCAACTACCCCAAGGGGTTCTGGTTGCAGCACACGTTTCGGTAGGCGGGCTGCTGGATCCATTCGCATATGCCCCCGCAACTGTGCAGGAATGGCTATATCCCAGCCAGCTGGTCGAGATGGGAGGGCCTTTTCAAGGATATTTGCCAACGGAAGCCTCAGTCAATCCGCATGTGCAAGCGGTGCTGCGTCTGCCATGCCCGTACCACCCGCTCCCTCGCGAGCACAGCACCTCAGAACTCGAGTGACCTTTTGGGCTGCATGCTCTGAAGTTGCTGGAATCAGGCTGGGTCTTGCATTCGGGTTGTACTGCATATTGCCGTGGCTTCTCTTAGTTCACGGCATCGGCGTGTTACTTTCCCGGCGCCATGGGCGTGTGCCTTGCGTTTGTCCTGGCTTATGTGGATGGGCTTTTCCTGGGATGTGTGCTCCCTTCCCCTTGCCTTTTGACTGGTTCGTGAAAGGGTGCACATTAGGGGTTGGCTCCTGCCTCCTTAAGCATGCGGTTCTTTGCCGAGCTGGTTGTGCCTTTTCCGGGAGGCTCCTTCCTTGCCGTGAATCACGTCGTCTGCTTAAGACCTGTGGCCTACTTTGGCTCTGTTGCACACCTGCTCACGCTGTCCAGATTTGGCCTGTTGGTCAGCACCGTGGCCAGGCTGTGTTCTCAACCGGCAGTGTCCCAGCCACCACGAATGCTGCTGAGCTTGCCCCGGCCCGTTTCGTTGGTGCTCCCTCGATCAGGACAGCTGTATCATGTCGGCCCACTCCGCTGCGGGATATAGGTGTTTTTACGCCTGCATGCCCTCTTAGCCCGCAAATCCTTCATGTCGATGACCGTGTTCACGATGCCCTGCTGTTTCGTCAGGTTTGCGAAGCTTTCGGCTTACATGCCTCTGCTTGGCATTGGCGGCATGTGGTTGAGGCCCTTCCGTCCCTGCCACCTGAGCAGTATGTTCTGTCACCAGTTGACTTGCCCTGGCACCGCGTCCTGTTTCCTGTCGACCTTCGACCTGTTGGAGGTTCTGTCTCGCTTGTCGAAACAACCCGTAACCAGCCTTGTGGGCAAATTGTTGCCGATGCTGCCGCCCAGCAACAGCTGCAGCTGCGTGACCAGGATGTCCTCTGCCGCACATGTGGTACCTGGTTTGTTCCCCATGCCTTTACTGGGCTTCTTCCCCGTGGGGACACTCTGCAGGTCTGGCCTCTTTCTCGCCACCAGCCTCTTCAAGGCGCCAGCAGAAGCGGTTCTCTGTCTCCTAGATTGTCTCTGGAAGACGTGTTTTCCACCAGTCTTTCTCTGCCCAGCCCGGTTGAGCTTGCCTTTCACGAAGAAAATGGTGCCAACGCTGTTGTGATGTTTCCCAACGGCCTGCATTTTACCTTCGCTCCTGCTTTTGCAGATCATCTTTCCATTCGATCCACGGTTATGGGCAGATTCATGGCAGACGTCACCAGCGGTGCTCAGGACTTTAGTCATTTTGCACGTGTCCTGCCTCCTCTTGACCGTCTCCCAGCGGTCCAGTTTGTTGCCATGCGCTGCACTGAGGGTCAATTTCCCGGGATCATTGACTTCAGGCCCATAGGCGGCGGCATCACGGTTGCGGCCATGTTTCGGAATGCACATCCTGCTTCTAGGCTTAGAGATGTTATTGAGAGTCAAGGTGAGCCCGACCCCAGCCGCAGTGTTATGGAAGCACTGGCACGAGGCTGTCTCTCTGTGTTGCATCGCGAATGTATTGTCGATCCGTACAGTCCACTTCAGGCAGCGGTTCCGGCCCCACTCGTCATTGTACGGCGCCGCGCGCAGGCAGCACTCAGCGCGAATGAGCCCTCGAGTACAGCTACGCGCCACCCTGCGATGTGGGCTCTGTTCGGTGTGACTCTCTTCCGGGTTCACGGTAGTCGGCTCATTCTTGGGGGCATCTTGCTACATCTCAGCCTCGCTGCCTTCCTTCCGCCTGAGGACCCAGCGCAGGTCCATGATATCCCCATCCAGCAAGAAGCGACTAACGCTTCCCTATTTTGCCCGGGGGATAATCTGGCCGGAATAACCGAGCACCATCGCCTTACGCAACGCCTTCAGGTCTTTAGTGACTGGGAATTTGTTGACACCAGGCGTAGTTTAGGCCTCGACCAAGTCCCGTCACGTAGATACCACGTTCGGGTATTTGCGTCGTCTGGCATTCATGGTTTCTACGTTTCTGGCACGCATTCTGCCAGAGATCTCAGGCATGCGCTTTTACGAACCAGCGGGGTCGCGGGGAAGAGGTTCCCTGTGCCTGTCCTAGCCCCCTTAGGTACTAGGTATGTTGCTTTTGTTGCCCCTGCCCGCGACAATAAGTATGTCATAATCCTTGTTGATGGAGGTGGGCCTTTTGTCTGCTTAGATGTGCCGACAGTGCAGTCAGGCCAATATATACTTGAAGCCTTGTCCCTGCTGCACCCTGGCAGATCCTACAGGTTAGGGGATGGTACTGTCTTCCCGCTACGACATGGCGATGTCGTATTTGCACATGTCGATCATCCTCAGCCGTCTGTTGAGGTTGGGATGCTGGCAGTGCCTAGCGATCGCCACGATGCCAGCCAGTGGCTTCGAGCCAACGTGTATGTTTTCGTCACATCCCATGACAAAGGCCTCCAGCGTGTCCAGGTGCCCAAGACCTTCTCTAAGAGTCAGCTTGAAGTCGGGCTCCGTGAGTGGTATGGCCCCTCTCGTTGCGGGACCGCAGGGCTCATTCGTCTTCCCATTTCCTCCCCAGCGGTGGATCTCTTTTGTCTTCCATGCTGTCGTTTCAGCACACTTACAGTGATGTTGTCTGACACCGCCGATTGCGAGCTCCGTCCCCTTGTGCAGACAGTCTCCAGTGGCAGTGATGAGCCGCCTACCTTGGCCTGTATTACACATGCCCCGCCACCGTTTGGCGGCTTCTGGTCCGATGTGCTTAGCCGCAGACCTGTTATCCTACGGCAGCTCGAATTTTCGTCGGCCCAAACCAAGTCTGGGAGCCCGTTTCTATTTGTGCATCTAGGGCTTGACTTATGTCGGGCATACGACCAAGGATGGCGGGTGCAGCAAGGCACAGTCCCGCCGTTGCTCAATCTTGGCGCTCTTCAGCCGGAGTGCTTTGATGTATCCGCTGGCACATCCTTTGGAACCGAGCAAGGCACCCAGAC